ATCTTCCTTGCTGCTATTGGTTTCTCATTGATCTGATTGTTATGGCTTGTTTTCAGTTTGTAAGAAGTTGGTAACGTAAAGGAAGGACAACAAAGAGTGGGGTCTTGTGGTTCCCTAATGTTTTTTTTTTCAGTGATGACTTGAATCCTTGATATGTAGTACTATTCATTTCTGACGGCTGAAACTACTCTCAGGTTGAGGATGAGCCTGTTGCTGGACTTGCAGTCCCAAGTAACGATGGAGAATCCTCACATCAGGTTACCTTATATTTTTCATAAAATATTGGATATGAAACGTTTTTGCATTCTTTTGTGCATGCACTGAGAGGTTCTTTGAACTCTGTCTTTAACAGCAGCAAGATGATGAGAAGAACATAAGAAGAAGAGTCTCCGGGATCGAACCATGGCTCTTGTGACTAGAATAAAAAAATTTAAACAGTACCAAATTTAATTAGTTTATTCAATAAAGTAAATACTTAGTTTAGTTTCTAAGAATCCGTAGGAATAACAAGAAAGAGTTGGTATATAAGAGTCACGTAAGAATTTTCTACAAAAGAGGTATATTAAGATAATTAGTACCTTGAGTGTGGCAATTAAACAAGTATGTAACCAAAATACTTTGCCTCAACTGTTATGTTATTCTAATCTCTATCCTTTGTAATTTGAATAATGATGCGTAAATCCATGTATCTGGATTTCTTTTAGCCACCTATATATATGTATGGATTCTGCAAAACTCAAATTAAACCACTCTTCAAATCTCTTACATACAGCCTTAACCTCTTTTCTACAAGCCATGAACTCCCTCAACCGCTCTTCTCCTCCTACCACATTCTTATGCCCTAAGGTACGATACAAAAACCAAATAGGCCCAGAAACCTATTTCATCGAAAAACGAATTGGTCTGTCTTTAAAAGAATCTCACCATCTTTCCCCCTGTGATTCTAAATTAGAAAAACTTTTGCGTAATTTCTTTTCATGTGGCGCTTGCAATCATAATACAAAACATTACACCACTGTTTTCTGGTGCAACACATGTTCCCGAACCTACCACAAAGAATGTCTTGAACCTCAGCCTGAGATCAAAGTCCCTTATCATCCCAAACACCCTCTCCAACTTATCTTTCCATTTCTCAATACACGAAGGAGCAGCCCTTACAACAAGTGTAATTGCTGTGGAGAATACATTATTAGAGGTATCTATTACTCTTGTTCTATATGTGATTTTAATTTACATCCTGTTTGTGCAATAAATTTGAGCAGCCTATCTATAAACTACCCAAAAAGGCATGAACATACACTCACATACTTCCCTCGAGTAAACTCCCTAACTTGTGACGTTTGTGCATTGGGTAATGATAAGCATTTCATCTACGTTTGTTACCAATGTGATTTCATCGTCCATAATACGTGTATCTACTTACCAACCACAATTAGAATATCCCGTCATTACCACCGTCTTTCATTCATTGCTCCTATTACTAATAAGAATAATTGGTCTTGTGGAGTTTGTCACCAAAGGGTTGACAAAAATTATGGAAAATACTCTTGTGTGAAGGATTGCGATTATGTTGTTCATTCTAAATGTGCAACACGAGAAGATTTATGGGACGGAAAAGAACTTGAAGGAGAACCAGAAGTCGAGTATGAAGATATTAAGGCGTTCAAAGAGATACGCGACAGAGTCATAAAACATGTCAGTCATCCATATCATAACATGAGACTTGACAAGAAGGAGAATGGTAGAGTGGAAGTCGAAAAATGGTGTCGAGCGTGCATCCTTCCTATCTATGAAGGTAACATTTATAGTTGCATGAGATGTGAATTTATCCTCCATGAAACATGTGCACATCTTCCTCGTAAAAAATGGCATCCACTACATGCCCATCCACTTACTCTACAAGTGTCACGTAAGTTCGAGTGTAAATTCGAGTGCGTAGCTTGTGAAAACCATTGTTGTGGTTTCGCATACACGTGCTACGAAGGCGATTGTTCTTTTCAGTTAGATGTACGATGTGCTTTGGTTTCGGAACCTTTCACTCATCAGTTACACCCACATCCGTTATTCTTAACATCTGGCGAAGGCGGCATTAAACTCAGAAGATGTTCCATGTGTGGAAAAGAAAAGCAACATTTGAGCTGTATCGAATGTTCTAATTTTGTTTTTTGTTTCCGTTGTGCCACTTTATTATATAAGGTGAAGTACAAACATGAAGAACATTATAATCTCACTTTACCCTACAAAGAAGATACAGGAGGATACAATTGGTGTGACATATGTGAGAAGGAAATATATCCACATGTTGGTTTTTATACGTGTGATTCGTTGTCTAACATCACAGTTCACATTGAATGTTTATTGGGGGTTGATCCATTTATGAACCATGGTCAACATTTCGTAATCAACGGCTATCTATGGGTTTGGATTATTCCCAACGATGGTCTTACTCGAGAAATTTGCGTGGGGTGTGGAAATCATTGTCTTTATAGAATAGCCTATGAAGCTCATTCTTTAAACAGAAAGAGACTATTACTTTGTTCCATGGAGTGTTTATGTTCTGTCCTAGAGCTGCCCTATAATTACTTCTAGAGCTGCCGGAGAATGTTTAACATTTGCTTTACAAAAGCGATGTCTTAGTTGTTGGTTCTAGTCCACTGTATTGTAAAATGTGTCTGTGTGATCAAATGTCTAAAGAATAAAGTTGTATCATCCAACATAATTTGTAAGGCTTTGTTATGTATAATTAATGTATGTTTTTGACAAAAAAAAATGTATGTTATTGAAGAGGAAAAGTGAACGTTAACCCATCCTCTATGGTGACAAAAAAAAAAAAAAAAAAACCCATCCTCTCACGGTCTCACACCAACCCATGAAGAAAGGCGTTGATTTATAGTAAGTTTAAATCCATGTAGGTGCCCATAGTATTTAACCTTTATATGTTTGTGATAATTAAAAAGAGTCTGATGGGGTCTGTAGGGAGGATCGAACAATGTTAATGTAAGCAGTAAGAGCATGACCATTAGGGGATCTAAGGGAGGATTCACACGTTTTTCGAGAGGAACAGTGATGAATTTGGCGCACGTGAGTTCGTCGTGGTGAATCTGGTTCGTTACGGGTTCGCCACGTGTCGCTGTGATTCGCCAAATTTTTTTTTTTTTTCGAAAAAGTTAAAAAAAAATTATTTTTTTTCCTATGAATCCCTCCCCATCAGATTCACTGATGGGAATACTCTAAGGTAGGGATCACGAGGTGGACAAGCAGTTAATGATATCGAACAGTACAGACTAGAGCACGAGGTGGTTGACATAACATATGACTCTACTCATTTCTCCAGATAATGACAAATATTTCACCTCTTTTTTATGTCTTTGATATGGTAAGATACTCCAACTACAAGTATTATCTTTGACTATTGTAATACAAACACATCATGTACTTAAAAATGTCTGAATTTCGGTGAAAAAGGTGTATATACACCCAAACATAAATAGTCGAGACTCCAGAGCCCTTTTGTATATGTAACTTTTGTAGGAAAGGATAGTCATTGATTTTGTTATTGTATAGAAATCTCTTGTATATTAATTGAGAAACATTTGAAAAGTTGTAACCTTAAATTTGTATTAATTAAAAAATAATTTCATCCTACGTGGCATCTCTCTATGTCTTCTATTTCAATTTAGAAGGATTTTAGAGCATCTTATATGAATCATAGTTTTAATACAAGGTCTGTTGGTCTCATATAAGACATATCAAACTAAATAACATATCAAACTAAATCTTTTATATATTTTTTCCTTAAATAAAACCTACGGAATTACCTAATGTGATTAAGATATATATGACTATTAATGATTTTAAATAATAAAAATTTGTTAACAATATGTATACTTCATATCATTTTTCTGTTTTATTTTTTATTATTAAATAAATTACACAACTACGTTAATCATATAATAAAAATTTAGATTTTTTATATATGTTGTATTCTGAAATTTTCAAAACGAGTATACATTATTAAAACTGTTAAAATCTCACATAAAATTTTGTGATCAAGGTCTAATTTTTTTCTATAATAAATTACAATAATTATAAAATCATATGAATAAAAAAATTTATTTTGATAGGTGTTTATGCTAATATATATATATATCATATCGTATGAATAAATAATTTTATTTTTAAACATAATTATAATTTAAAATTTTACTTAATTTTTTTCTAAAATAGTTTTTATTTAAAAAATAATTTTCTGATATTATTAGACAAATAAATAAATTATATTATATTAGTTTTGAAAATTTATATATTCCATATGCAAATATTCTACCAACTGCTTCTTAAGAAAACATTAGGGAACTTGATAATTTTCTACCAATTAAGTCATGTGACACTCCGTTTATTGTTCTTTTTTTTTGTAACACTCTGTTTATTATTCATCACTCGAACACTGGAAAGTGAAAAATATATGAACATGATCTATTAACTTACTAAGTTTTGATCTATAGTTCTAATACAATTGTTTCTGATACTACATATAGATAACTATATAAAATTCCAAAATTCCAAATACATAAAAAAAAAATCATATGTAAATTGTAAATTTTTTAATACTAAAGTTTTATATTTTAGTTACATACACCCACCCTGCGAAAACGCAGATCTTATCCTAGTATTAGTTAATTTGAGATGCTTTCCAATACAACCCAAACAATTAAATGTTTTATTAATCCGTGTGAAAAAACCTAAAACGACAAATAAAATGAAATGGAGGAAATAGAAATTTTTCTCATCCCAAATTGGACTAGTTCAAAATAAAATACAAATCGATAAAATAATAAAATATTACTTTTTTAGAAAATTCTATGAAAATATATGGTCTCACTAAAATTATAAATTAATAATCTATATGTATAAATATTTTATATAATTCCAAATCAACTATTATATTTTTTTAATATTCACATTAAAATTATCTTTATACTTCTTAACACTTATTATATTTTGATAAGATTTAGTAAAATTATATTTAAAACCACTATATACAAAAAAAATCTTATTAATAAAACTACTAAAAATCTGAAATGTTAAAAAAAAATTAATTTATATACATTAGAATCAAATATTTTTCTTAGAAAAAATATATCTCAAAATGGAAAAGCTAGAATGATATTTTGTTCCATAGTGTGTATTTGGAAAGTGCTCCCTACACCTTAATAATGAAAATCCTTGTCCTAATATTGGGCTTAATTGGTAAGAGTGGCATCTTTATAGTGGAAACTCTATAAATTAATATTCGATAAATTAATAAATTTCTCTCAGTTCAAAATAGAACACAAATTGATAAAATAATAAGATAATATATTTTTTTTAGAAAATTCTATGTAAATATATGATCTCATTAAAAATATATAAAAATTACGAACCAACTATTATATTATTTTGTTTACATTATTAAAATTATCTTTATATTTCTCAACACTTATTATATTTTGATAAGTTTTCATAAAATTATATTTAAAACTACGTTTAAATTATATGTAACATATTTTATATACACCAAATAGTATTAATAAATTACTATAAATCTGGAATTTTAAAAAGTTAATTAACGTATATACATTAGAATCAAAATTTTTTTTTAGAAAACAATATATCTTAAAATAGAAAAAATCTAAAAAGAAAACTTTTTGTAAATTAATAACTCTATAAATTAATAAAATACCAAAGTCCTAACATTATTTATTTATAGATTTTTACTGTATATTTTACTATAGAATTAGTGATGTAGATTTTTTTTTTTTTGCTGTAGTTATAAATATTTTGCGGTTGGAGTTTGGTTGTAAATTTGAGAATATTTAATTATTCACTTGTAAATTTTATAGAGCCACAATATGATAAAAAGAGTAAAAAGACAATTTTTAAGCTTTCATAATTTTCTTATAAAACATGATTGGTAAAGATTTGTGGTTTAGGAAAAAACATTTGGCTGCGAAAATATTCTACATCACTTGAAAATCATCACAATTATTTTCCAAGTGATTGTTTAGTATTAATAATATATAAAATTTTCACATCAGCTTAGAATTGAACTAATAACATAATTAAAAATATATAAATTTTTCACATCATCTTCGAATTTAAAAATAAATTTGTATATATTTATACTTTTCCATATTTAATTAAATATTTGAATTATTTTTTGAATCAGTGCAAGAAAAATAAACTAATCAAACCTTCAAATTATATAATTTATATGCGTATAATATCCATAAAATATGCTCGTTCGGTGAATGTTATGTTAATCAATTCATTGAGGTAATTAATAAATTACTTAAATATAATAAAACTTAAATAAATCTGAATAATATAAATTTAAAATTTCAAACCATATAAAACACCTTACAATGATTATTTAGGTTTTTATACTGATAAACTAAAATCTAAAAAAGTAATATTAAAATATAGATTAAGTTTAAAAAAAAAATATCTATAATTTTACAAAAAATATTATAACTGCGTATAATTCTCCTTGTACGGGGCGAGTGACATATTGTTAGTTATACACGTGCATTTGGATTATGTGCAACATCTTCTTTACGAAAGCCATGCCTTAGTTATAGTCCCTAGATTTTAAATGTGTTTGTGTAATCAAATGTCTAAAGAATCAAGTTGTATTACCCAATCGCCTAATAAATCGTAAGGTTATATTATGGATGTTACTGACGACTACTTAACGTAACCTGTCTTCTCACGGTCTCACTTGTACAAGTTTAAATCCGTTGCACATAGTATTCAAGCTTTATATGTTTGTGATAATACAAATGAGTCTGATGGGGCCCGTAAGGAGGATCGAACCCTGTTACAGGGTTATGTATAAGTCGTAAGGTACGGGACATGGGACGGTGCACAGAAAGTTTGAACAAGCATTTAATGATACCGTACAGTCCCGACCAGAGCACGAGGTGGTTGACAAAAACATATGACTACTCAATTCTCTAGATAATGACAAATATCTTCACTGCTTTACATGTACGGGTATGTCTTCAGTATATGATTAGATATTACCACTACATGTAATATAAACCTAGATTGTACTTCAAAATATCAGAATTTCAGTGGGGAAAAAATTGTATGCATACAAACCTAAATAGCTTTTGTTTTGGTAACTTTACTTGTTCTACTACACATTATGTCTATTCTTTGATGAATAAGTATACTCTTTTTTTTTTTTTGGTCAAAAAGTATACTCTTTACAATGACAAAAAAAATATTGAAGCACAGACTAACTATATATTTTTAATAAATTAAAAGAGAGATTTTAAAAGGAAGTTACAGAGAAAGAGAGCTTTTTATTTGGGCTGCTAAACCGTGTTCTCATGAGGCTCCAGGAGAGCAAAGAAAGAGAACACAAAAAAAAAAGAACTGCATTAAATGTTAATCAAGAAACTTCTTGGTAACCTCCTAAGTCCTAACCATGATATGTCTATATAAAATCTAGACTCTCTAATCCAAAACAATGCAACAATTCCACCAAAGAAGAAGAAGAAGAAGAAGCAGATAAAACCCACCTGAGCTTTACTTCCTACTCTTTGCTTCCTCTTCACAAGTTTTTGAGGATGTGCAAGAAGTTGAAGCTTTTCATTAGAAAGTTATGCTTATTCACTAGATTCTTCTCCAAGAGGGTTGAAGATTTTGGTGAGTTTGAGGAAGAGGGTAATGGTGCAACAACGGTTCCCAGTGATGTTAAAGAAGGGCATGTGGCAGTGATTGCGGTTAAAGGAGAGAGAGCTAAGAGGTTTGTTTTGGAGCTTCAAGAGTTGAACAAACCTGAGTTCAGGAGACTGCTCGAACAGGCGAAAGAGGAGTTCGGGTTTCAACCTAGAGGACCTCTGACCATTCCATGCCAGCCGGAAGAAGTACAGAAGATTCTACAAGAAAGTAGGAACGGATAGTCTTGATGTTTCTCTATGGTAGAGAAACATGTTATTTAATTTGAGATTCTTTTCTTAACTATTCTTCTTCTCTCTCTTATTACAGAAACATGTTATGACCACACCTGCATATAAATTACATTATGCTGGTTCTAGTTCAGTTTCTTTTTCTGTTTTTCATAAGCAGCTTGTTATCGAGCCATTGTTGCAGTTTCAGTGAATGCATTTTCTCCCTAGATTGAGCTATTTGTTAGATAACACCGACAGATCTATGAAAACACTATACCCATTATAGGCCAGTACCCTCTCCTCGACAGGCCAGTTGTAATAATACGAGTCCTGACTTCTTTTGGTATCTTGTTAACATTTATTGTAAGAAAATGTTAAATGTATACGAAAAAACAAACAAATATTCAATTATTGGGATAAAGTTTTGAACCTTGAATTCGTAAGGCTGCTTCTTTGCCCTAGCGCGCTTTTTTCCAGTGATGCTGCTCAAAGAGCATCCACTTATCATGATAACTACAAATTAAAGAGTATTGAGAGAACAAGTATATGACTCAAAAATTTGGAAATATGGAGAAATATACAAAGCCTTAAGATAGAGAGGAATCATACTAGCTAACGAGAAAGAAACGAACGAGAGGAGAGAACTATGAAGTAACAGTCTCCATAAGACCAAAACTATCAAGAATTAAATAAAACCTGACGTTTTAGAAAAAGATTTAGATTATAATTTTGTTTAAAACTTACTAAAATTTGTTGATATTTTTATGATATTATGAACTAATTAATATTTAACAAAAGTAAAATAGATTTTTTTAAAAAAAATTTGCTTTAATTGGAATTTATATTTATTATAAAGTTATAAAATCAAATAAAACTATTTAAAATGATATTAAGATATGACCAAAGATTAGTGACAAAAAATAAAATTGAAAAAAAAAAACTTCAACGACTTAAATGGGTTAAACGGGTACTATTAACATAAACGGGTTTAACATTAAACGGGTTTAAACGAAACGGATCTAAACGGGCGCGGATGCTCCATATTAACATCTCTAGCCAGCACCAAGTCGGTTAAAAACATTGGCCTTAGGTCCCCAATTTTTGTAAAGAAAATTACATATATATAATTCTCCAAAAAAAATTTTAAACCTCCAAATTCTGAAAATATAAAATTTAAGTGAAGTTAGTTAAAATTTTGTCTTATGCCCCCTGATTTTCAGCATCGGCCTATTGCTGAATTTGCAGTCCCATATAACACTGGAGAATCCTTGGATCAGGTTCCCTTATATTTTTTTTCTTAAATTTTTGATATGAAACATTTCTACATACTTTTTGCGTGCAAGTACTGAGAAGTGAGAACTCTGTCTTTACCAGCAACAGGATGATAAGAAGAACATAAGCAGAAGAGTCAATGCTGCCGTTGGTCGACACCGATTGATACGGCATCGAACCATGGCTCTTGCTACTAAATTCCAAAAATTTAAACTGTACCAAATTGTAATTTAGTTTTGGTTTCTTAGATTCCTTAGGAATAACAAGACGGAATTGGCAACAAGTCACGTTAGAATTTTCTACAAAAAAGGTATATTAATAATAAGTACCTTGAGTGAGGCATTTAAACAAGAATATTAAACTAAAATACTTTGAGTCAAATGTTATGTTATTCTAATCTCTATCCTTTGTAATTGGAATAATGATGCGTAAATCTATGTATATGAATTTCTTTTAGCCACCTATACATATGGATGGTTTCTGCAAAACTCAGATTAAACCACTCTTCAAGTCTTTTACGTACAGCCTCAACCTCTTTTGTACAAGCCATGGACTTCCTCGACCATTCTTCTCCTCCTACAACTTTCTTATGCCCTACCCTACGATACAAAAAACAAACGGATCCAGAAAATGATCCGTCGTTAGAAGAACCTCACTCTCTCTTCCCAATCGATTCTAAATCTCAATTAAACCAAAGTTTGCGCAACTTATATTTTTGTGCCTCTTGCAATCATACAGAAAAATATACCTCTGTTATTTGGTGCGACAAATGTAACCAATTATACCACAAAGAATGTGTCGAATCTCCACCTGAGATCAAAGTCCCTTATCATCCCAAACACCCTCTCCAACTTCTCTTTCCATATCCCAATAGTACACTTCAAGTAGGGAGCAACCATTACGACAAGTGTAATTGTTGTGGAGAAGACACTGAAGGTTTCTATTACTCTTGTTCTATATGTGATTTTAATTTACATCCTCTTTGTGCAATAAATTTGAACATACTTTCTATAAACTACCCAAAAAGGCATGACCATACCCTCACCTACTTCCCTAGAAAGAACTCCCTAACTTGTGATGTTTGTGCATTGGGTGATGATAAATGTTTCATCTACTTATGTTTCCAATGTGATTTTTTCGTCCATAAGGCGTGTATCTACTTACCAAACGAAATAAGAATATCCCGTCATGATCACCGTCTTTCTTTCACTTCTCTTACTACTCATAATAAGAATCGTTCTTGTGGAGTTTGTCGCCATAGAGTTGACAAAAATTATGGAAAATACTCTTGTGTGAAGGGTTGTGATTATGTTGTTCATTCCAAATGTGCAACACGAACAGATTTATGGGATGGAGAAGAACTTGAAGGACAACCAGAAGTCGAGTATGAAGATATTAAGGCGTTCAAAAAGATAGGTGATGGAGTCATAAAACATGTCAGTCATCCATATCATGACATGAGACTTGACAAGAAGGAGAATTATAAAGTGGAAGTCGAAAAAAGGTGTCGAGCGTGCATCCTTCCTGTCTATGAAGGTAACATTTATAGTTGCATGAGATGTGATTTTATCCTCCATGAAACATGTGCACATCTTCCTCGTACAAAATGGCATCCACTGGATGTCCATCCACTTACTCTAGAAGTGGCTCAGCAACATAAGTTCCAGTGCGCAGCTTGTAGAAACCGTTGTTGTGGCTTTGCATACAGATGTGCTAAAGCCCTTTGTGGTTTCCAAATAGATGTACGATGCGCTTTGGTTTCCGAGCCTTTCACTCATGAGTTGCATCCACATCCCTTATTCTTAACATTTGAACGAGGCATATTTAGAACATGTTCCATGTGTGGAAAACAAAGGATACATTTGAACTGTATCGAATGTTCCTTTGTTTTTTGTTTCCGTTGTGCCACTTTACCATATAAGGTGAAGTACAAACATGATGAACATTATCTCACTTTATCTTACGAAGAAGATACAGGAGGATACAATTGGTGTGACATATGCGAAAGGGAAACATATCCACGTGTCGGGTTTTATACGTGCAATTCGTTGTGTAGCGCCACAGTTCACATTGAATGTCTATTGGGGGTTGATCCTTTTGTGAACCATGGTCAAGCTTTCGAAATCAATGAAGTATGGTTTGAGATAATTCCCAACGATGGTCTTACTCGAGAAATTTGCATGGGGTGTCGAAAACATTGCTGTTACAGAGTAGCATATAAAGCTGACATAGAAAGTAATAGACCGCTATTACTTTGTTCCATGGAGTGTATATATTCTGTCATGAGTTCAAGAGGCTATGAGAACAGGCGAAAGAGGAGTACGGGTTTCAACCTAGAGGACCTCGCTGGCCATTCCGGGCCAGCCAGAGGAAGTACAGAAAATCTTGCAAGAAAGTAGGAAAGGATAGTCGTTGAATTAACTATTCTTATGCTTTCTCTTATTATTACATAAACATGTTATGATCACATTCACATATTATTATTACTTTATGCTGGTTGTTGTAGTTCAATCTTCTTTTATTGGGTTTCATAAACAGTTTGTTATCCTGCCATTGTTGCAGTTTCAGTGGATGCATTTTCTCCCTAGATTAAACTATTTGACATATCTATCAAAACACTTTCCTTTCCCTCCTCAAGAACCTACGAGGATATCCCCATCAACTGTGTTCCCAGCACTGAAAATTCAATATGTCATACTGTTCAAATGACAGTTTGTCATGAAAATTCTATAATTTGTTGTTGCACAATCATATGCCAATAAGACAGATTCTGGTTACGTACTTAAAAAGAGAGTTCTTTCAATTTTGCCATAAAGAGTAAAAACCAAACTTGAAAATGCAACAGAAGTACAAAAGTAACAACAGAAGGAGAAGCAATAGAGTTATGGTTCTTAACAAGTTCGAGAAGGCAGCTGAGAAGATTGCAAGGGAGAGGCTTTCATCTAAGGGAAGTAGACAGGCCAGTTGTAATAATACGAGTCCCTGACTTCCTTTGGTATCTTATTCCACTGAGTAACAAAAACAAGAACCAAAATAAACACTTGTTGTAAGAAAATGTTAAAATGTATACGAAAAAACAAACAAATATTCAGTTGTTGGGATAAAGTGTGTAACCTTGAATTCGTAAGGCTGCTTCTTTGCCCTTGCTTTTTTCCAGTGGTGCTGCTCAAAGAGCATCCACTTATCATGATAACTACAAATTAGAGGGTATGAAGATAACAAGTATAAGAATCAGTCTTTGTAAAAATGGAGATTCATACGAAGCCTTAAGAAGCGGAGCTATCGTGAACTGAATCATATTATCATGCAAGTGTAAGAATCGAACAAGAGAGAGAGAGACTACTATGAAGTTACAGTCTCCATAAGTCCAAAAGCTCCATCAAACAATCAAACGCTGACGTTTTAGCTATGCCTATGGTAACAACAAGACCATAACGAAGGGACTGGAAAATCAGAACACAAATAACTAAAAGTCTAAAACCCATTCATCTTTTGCTAAGAAATTTCTCAGTTATCAATTTGTCAAAAAAGAGAGTTCAAATTATATTTAGATCCTGAGGTTTCTTCCGGTTATACTATTCCACAATTGCTACAAAATTTTGCTTGTACAATGGTTTTTAAGTCTTTTCAAGGCAAATATTGATATAAGATCTAACAATATACACAGAAATGGAGTTAGTATAATCTGTACAGAAAAGTCAGGATTTAATCACCAAGAGGGGATAGCTCAGTTGGGAGAGCGTCAGACTGAAGATCTGAAGGTCGCGTGTTCGATCCACGCTCACCGCAATTTTGTGTTTTTTTTCCTTTGAAATTATGCTCAACTAATTCACGTTGTCACAAGTTAATCACTTCTCATTGATCTGATTGATTATGGCTTGTTATTCAGTTTGTAAAAAGTTGGTAACGTAATGGAAGGACAATTAACAGTGGGGTCTTGTGGTTCCCTAATGTTTTCTTGTTTCAGTGATGACTTGAATCCTTGATATGTAGTACTATTCATTTCTGACGGCTGAAACTACTCTCAGGTTGAGGATGAGCCTGTTGCTGGACTTGCAGTCCCAAGTAACGATGGAGTATCCTCACATCCTTATATTTTTCAGAAAATTTTGGATATGATTTGTTTTTGCATGCACTGAGAGGTTCTTTGAACTCTGTGTTTAACAGCAGCAAGATGATGAGAACATAAGAAGAAGAGTCAATGCTGCCCCTGGTCGCATCGAACCATGGATCTTGCAACTAGAATACAAAAATTTAAACTGTACCAAATTTAATTAGTTTATCCAATAAAGTAAATACTTAGTTTAGTTTCTAAGAATCCTTAGGAATAACAAGAAAGAGTTGGTATATAAGTCACGTAAGAGTTTTCTACAAAAGAGGTATATTAAGATAATTAGTACCTTGAGTGTGGCAATTAAACAAGTATGTAACCAGAATACTTTGCCTCAACTGTTATGTTATTCTAATCTCTATCCTTTGTAATTGGAATAATGATGCGTAAATCTATGTATCTGAATTTCTTTTAGCCACCTATATATATGTATGGATTCTGCAAAACTCAAATTAAACCACTCTTCAAATCTCTTACGTACAGCCTTAACCTCTTTTGTACAAGCCATGGACTCACTCAACCACTCTTCTCCTCCTACAACTTTCTTATGCCCTACCCTACGATACAAAAAGCAAGTAGACCCAGAAACCTATTTCATTGAAAAACAAAGTGATCCGTCTTTAGAAGAATCTCACCGTCTTTTCCCCCTCGATTCTGACTCTGACTCTGACTCTGACTCTGCCTCTGACTCTGACTCTGACTCTGACTCTGACTCTGACTCTGACTCTGCCTCTGACTCTGACTTCAAACCACTTTGGGGCTATTTACTTTCGTGTGACGTTTGCAAGCGTAAAATAAAACCTTCCACTGGTTTTTGGTGTAAAAAATGTATACAAGCGTACCACAAAGAATGTGTTGAATCTCCACCTGAAATTAAAGTCCCTTACCATCCCAAACACCCTCTCCAACTTCTTTTCCATCACCCAAGAGTACACTTCCCGTAGGGAGCAGCCATTACAACAAGAGTAATTGTTGTGGAGAAAACACTGATGAAGGTATCTATTACTCTTGTTCTATATGTGATTTTAATTTGCATCCTGTTTGTGCATTAAGTCGGAACGTCCTTTCTATAAACTACCCAAAAAGGCATGACCATACCTCACCTACTTCCCTAGAATAAACTCCCTAACTTGTGATGTTTGTGCATTGAGTGATAAATGCTTCATTTACGTCTGTTATCAATGCGATTTTGTGGTCCATAAGACATGTATCTACTTACCAACCATAATCAGAATATCGCGTCATGACCACCGTCTCTCTTTCACTCCTTCTCCCACTATTCCTAATAAGAATTGGTATTGTGGAGTTTGTCGCCAAAGAGTTGACAAAAATTATGGACAATACTCTTGTGTGAAGGATTGCGATTATGTTGTTCATTCTAAATGTGCAACACGAAAAGATTTATGGGACGGAAAAGAACTCGAAGGAGAACCAGAAGTCGAGTATGAAGATATTAACGCGTTCAAAGAGATAAGCGACAGAGTCATAGAACATGTCAGTCATCCAAATCATTACATGAGTCTTCTTGACAAGAAGGAGAATGACCAAGTGGACGATGGAAAAAGGTGTCAAGCGTGCATCCTTCCTATTTATGAAGGTAGCGTATATAATTGCATGACATGTGATTTTATCCTCCATGAAACATGTGCACATCTTCCTCGTAAAAAATGGCATCCACTGCATATCCATCCACTCGATCTACGAGTGGATCTGAATCGGGAATTCAAGTGCATAGCTTGTAGCAACCATTGTTGTGGTTTTGAATACATTTGCCAAGAAGGACTTTGTTCTTTCAATTTAGATGTAAGCTGCACTTTGGTTTCCGAGCCTTTCACTCATGTCTTACATCCACATTCCTTATTCTTAACATCTGAAGAAGGAATATCCAGAACGTGTTCCATGTGCGGAAAACAAAATAAACATTTGAACTGTATCGAATGTTCCTTTGTTTTTTGTTTCCGTTGTGCCACTTTACCATATAAGGTGAAGTACAAACATGATGAACATTATCTCACTTTATCTTACGAAGAAGATACAGGAGGATACAATTGGTGTGACATATGCGAAAAGGAAACATATCCACATGTTGGGTTCTATACGTGCAATTCCTTGTGTGGCATCACAGTTCACATTGAATGTCTATTGGGGGTTGATCCATTCATGAACCATGGTCAAGATTTCAAAAACCACGAAGTATGGTTTGAGATAATTCCCAACTACGGTCTTACTAGAAGAATATGCACGCGCTGTAGAAATCATTGCCCTTACAGAATAGCATACAAAACTGACATAGAAAGTAATAGACCGCTATTACTTTGTTCCATGGAGTGTATATATTCTGTCATGAGTTCAGGAGGCTATGAGATGAGGAGTCCGGGTTTCAACCTAGAGAGACCCTACTTTAAACGGCCAGAGGAAATGCTAGAGGACAAGTTTAACCGGCCAGAGGAATGGCAGAGGGTCCTATACGAAATCGTACAAGAAAGTAGGAAAGGATAGTCGTTGAATTAACTATTCTTATGCTTTCTCTTATTATTACATAAACATGTTATGATCACATTCACATATTATTATTACTTTGTGCTGGTTGTTGTAGTTCAATCTTCTTTTATTGGGTTTCATAAACAGTTTGTTATCCTGCCATTGTTGCAGTTTCAGTGGATGCATTTTCTCCCTAGATTAAGCTATTTGACATATCTATCAAAACACTTTCCTTACCCTCCCCCAGAACCTACGAGGATATCCCCATCAACTGTGTTCCCAGCACTGAAAATTCAATATGGCATACTGTTCAAAAGACAGTTTGTCAGGAAAATTCTATAATTTGTTGTTGCACAATCATATGCCAATAAGACAGATTCTGGTTACGTACTTAAAAAGAGAGTGATTTCAATTTTGCCATAAAGAGTACAAACCAAACTTGAAAATCCAACAGAAGTACACAAGTAACAACAGAAGGAGAAGCAATATAGTTATGTTCTTTAACAAGTTCGAGAAGGTAGCTGAGAAGATTGCAAGGGAGAGGCTTTCATCTAAAGGAAGTAGACATGCCAGTTGTAATAATACGAGTCCCTGACTTCCTTTGGTATCTTATTCCACTGAGTAACAAAGACAAGAACCAAACAAACACTTGTTCTAAGAAAATGTTAAATGTATTACGAAAAAAAAACAAAAAAAAAATATTCAGTTCTTGGGATAAATTTTTTGAACCTTGAATTTGTACTTCATGTATGGAACGGGCTTTAGTACTAAGAATGTGTTTGTGATCTTCTGTCCAGCTTATTTTTACTTTTTTATGGAAGTTTTGTGGAATCTTTATGTTATATAAAAGCAGGCAAGGATATTCATTGTGATGATAACGGAGATATTGGATAATCAGACACTATTTCTCAGTTTTATTCTGTCTACTTACCAACCACAATTAGAATATCCCGTCATTACCACCGTCTTTCATTCATTACTCCTATTACTAATAAGACTAATTGGTCTTGTGGAGTTTGTCACCAAAGGGTTGACAAAAATTATGGAAAATACACTTGTGTGAAGGATTGCGGTTATGTTGTTCATTCTAAACGTGCAACACGAGAAGATTTATGGGACGGAAAAGAACTTGAAGGAGAACCAGAAGTCAAGTATGAAGATATTAAGGCGTTCAAAGAGATAAGCGACGGAGTCATAGAACATGTGAGTCATCCATATCATAACATGAGACTTGACAAGAAGGAGAATGGTAGAGTGGAAGACGAAATAAGATGTCAAGCGTGCATCCTTCCTATCTATGAAGGTAACATTTATAATTGCATGACATGTGATTTTATCCTCCATGAAACATGTGCACATATTCCTCGTAAAAAATGGCATCCACTACATGCCCATCAACTTACTCTACAAGTGGCTCAATCACGCAAGTTCGAGTGTAAATTCGAGTGTGTAGCTTGTAAAATGTATAAACATTTGCTTTACCAAAGCGATGTCTTAATTAGTTGTTGGTTCTATAGTTCCTGGATTGTAAAATGTGTCTGTGTGATCAAATGTCTAAAGAATAAAGTTGTATCATCCAATCGCCTAAATCATAATTCATAAGGCTATGTTATGTATGTTGTTGACCAAAGAAACGTATATTACGTACTGAAGACGAAAAGTGAACGTAGCTCATCTTCTCACGGTCTCACACCAACCCATGAAGAACTGATTTGTAGTAAGTTTAAATCCATGTAGATGCACATAGTATTTAATCTTTATATGTTTGTGATAATACAAATGAGTCTGATGGGGCCCGTAAGGAGGATCGAACCCTGTTACAGGACACGGACGGTGCATAGAAAGTTTGAACAAGCATTTAATGATACCGTACAGTACAGACCAGAGCACGAGGTGGTTGACAAAAACATATGACTCTACTCGATTCTCTATATAATAATGATGATAATATATCTTCACTTCTTTTATATGTAAGGTATGCCTTTCACATGATAAATATTAGAGCATTTCCGCGTTCTATCCATTGGAATTCTAAACTTATACATGTGTATATGTATATATTGTATATGTGTATATAGGTGTAGGGTTTATTATTATGTGTATATAGAATCTCCGTTAAAAGTATTCTTACAACTACACGTTTAATATTTGACTAGTGTAATACAAACCCAGCATGTACTACAAGCAGTACCGATCCTGACATGGGAAAGACCAGAATCAATTTTCTAAAAATTGGTCACTTTTATAAAAATGTTTATATGCTATAATAATAATTTTTTTCTAAAAAATGCTGATTTTTTCAAATATTTTCTGAGAGCTGAAAACTGTTACTTGTAATGCTTCCTCTCATGGCCGGTACTGATTTCAAGACGTCAGAAATTCAGTGAAAAAGATTGTATATATCCAAACCTAAATAGTCTAGAGTCCTTTTGTATTGCTAACATTACTTGCTACACTACACATAAACTATACTAGTGAATTTACAAAAACAAATTAAAAGGAAATTACAGAGAAAGAGAGCTTCTATTTAGGCTGCTAAACCGTGTTGTTATGAGGCCCCACTATTCTCAGGAGAGGAAACAAATAAAACACAAATAAGGAACTACATTTAATCATGAAACTTCTTGGTAACCTCCTTACTCCTCCTAACCATGATATGTCTTATATAATATCCAGACTCTCTAATCCAAAACAATGCAACAACTCCATCAAAGAAGAGGAAGCAGAGAAAACCCACCAGAGCTTTACTTTAAACTGTTTGCTTTCTATATTCAGAAGTTTTTGAGAATGTGCAAGAAGATGAAGCTTTTCATTAGAAGTCTACAAACTTGCTGCTTATTCACAAGATGCTCCAAGAGGGTTGGAGATTGTGGTGAGTTTGAGGAAGAGGGTAATGGTGCAACAACGGTTCCAAGTGATGTTAAAGAAGGGCATGTGGCAGTGGTTGCGGTTAAAGGAGAGAGAGCTATGAGGTTTGTTTTGGAGCTTCAAGAGTTGAACAAACCTGAGTTCAAGAGGCTACTTGAACAGGCCAAAGAGGAGTTTGGGTTTCAATCCAGAGGACCTCTCACCATTCCGTGCCAGCCGGAAGAAGTAAAGAAGATCCTACAAGAAAGTAGGAAAGGATAGTCCTTGATGTTTTGTTATTGTAAAGAAACATGTTAGTAGAGTTTCAAAAAAAAAAAAAAAGAAACATGTTAGTTAATTTGAGATTATTTTCTTACAAGAATTAACTATTCTTATTCTTTCTCTTATTACATAAACATTTTATGACCACATTCACATAGTATTACTTTATGCTTTGTTGTAGTTCAATCTTCTTAAACTGGGTTTAATAAACAGCTTTTTATCCTGCCATTGTTGCAGTTTCAGTGGATTCATTTCTCCTCAGATTGAGCTATTTGCTAGATAACAGGCCCGGCCCATGGGTAGTGCTCAGAGTGCATTTGCACTAGGCCCAATATTATTTTTCATGTTTTAGGTAAGAGTTTAGGGCCCTTTTTAAAAAATTTTAGGGCCCTATTTTAATAAATTATTTATATTATTCCTATGTAAATAAAATCTGCTCTGGGCCTAGTATGTGATTGAGCCGGGTCTAACACCGACTTATCTATCAAAACAAAACACTTTGCCTACCCTCTACCAGGTCCTACGAGGAATGTCCAATCAACTGTGTAATTCAATATGTCATACTGTTTGTTAAACATACACAGTTGTTAGGAAAATTCTATAACTTGTTGCACAATCATATGCCAATAAGACAGATTCTGTGTTCTGTAATTTCAATTTTGCCATAAAGAGTTTCAAACCAGAGAGAATAATAAAACAGAGAATAGTTGAAAATCCAACATAAGTACAAAAGTAACAACAGAAGGAGAAGCAATAAAGAGTTATGTTCTTAAGAAGTTGGAGGAGAAGATTGCAAGGAAGAGAGGCTTGTTCTAAGGGAAGTAAACAGGCCAGTTGTAATAATACGAGTCCCTGACTTCCTTTGGTATCTTATTCCACTGAGTAAACAAAAACAAACAAACACTTGTAGTAAGAAATATGTATAACGAAAATACAAACAAATAATTCAGTTGTTGGGATAAAGGATTTGAACCTTGAATTCGTAAGGCTGCTTCTTTGCCCTTGCTTTTTTCCAGTGATGCTGCTCAAAGAGCATCCACTTATCATGATAACTGCAAAATTAGAGAGAGACTATTATGAGAGAATAGTCACAAGAAATGAATCAAACTAGCTATCGTTCAAATCATGTTTATCATACAAGTGAAAGAAGTGGACGAGAGAGATTACTACTATGAAGTTTCAAAAAACACCAAAAACGCTCCATCAACAATCAAATGACATAAACCTGACATTTTAGCTATGACTATGGTAACAACAACTCTAATTCAGTTTCGTCTAAAAACAAAGAAACCAAAGGCTCAACCTTTTGCTGTAACCCAACAGAACCAAGAGCTATATACCCAAACAAAGTCTCGCTAGAGTAATTTAGAGAAGCAAGCACATGAAACAAGAAGCCAATTCAGACCCACCAAAACACTCGCATTCAGAGAGAAACCAAACACAGAAAAAAAAAACCAAAAAAGCTACAAACTTTCGAATCAGGATTACTCAAGACAGAGACAAAGCAAGAGTTATACTCAAGTACAAGAATCAGTCTTTGTAAAGATGGAGATTCATACAAAGCCTTAAGAAGCGGGGAGCTATCGTGAACTGAATCATGTTATCATGCAAGTGTAAGAAGCAAACGAGAGAGAGAGATAGATACTACTATGAAGTTACAGTCTCCATAAGACCAAAAGCTCCATCAAACAATCAAACGCTGACGTTTTAGCTTATGCCTATGGTAACAACAAAACCATTCAGTTTCGTCTAAAAAGAAACTAAAAGTCTCAACCTTTCCTGTAACCCAACAGAATCAAGAGCTATACGCCCAAGAAAAAGTCTCGCTAGAGTAATTCAGAGAAGCAAGCACATGAAACAAGAAGCCATTTCAGACCCATCAAAACACTCGTATTCACAGAGAAACCAAACACACAAAAAAACCGAAAAAAGCTACAAACTTTCGAATCCGGATTACTCAAAACAGAGACAAAGAAAGAGAGTATTATTACTTGAACTGGTTGGAGAGCTGCCACATGTAAGGATTGACCCAAGTGAGAGCAGAGAAGGCAACCGAACCAATCCATATGTTCACGAACCTATCAGCATCTGCGTGCGGCACTCCTGGATCTCCCCTATACGCATTTCCAAAATACTTCTCCATCTCCTCTCTCTCTCTCTCTGTTTATCCTCTCACCGGCGATTTTGTTGATAACAAAAATAATATATATAAAGGAAAAAAAAACTTTTTGCCTTCACTAACCTTTTGTTTGGAAACAGGCACTTTAATATCCTCTCTCTGGATAGGATTAGAAATGTTTAGAAAGGGACCAAAGCAGAGTAGAGAAGCCAAGAAGGTTTTAAAACGACGTCGTTTTGAGAACACAACCATCTAAGAGAGAGGGTTAGTTCTTCTCCGACCACTGTCTGGATAATACAAACTGAAACTTGTGTTCGGTAATAATAATAAACTGGGCCTGTCACCAAGGGAGAGTATATCCAACATTTGATTCCTCTCTTAGGACCAAAACGACACGAAACCCATCGTTTTCGTTAACGTGGCCCAGCAGTTTCGGGAAGAACCAAAGACACAAAGAATATCTCTTTTTTTTTGTTCTTTTACTTCTTCTTCATCGTCTTCCCCAAAATTAGGGTTTTCTCTTCCTCAAAGTTTAATTAAATTATGCGAGGCGGTGGCAAGAGAAGATCAAGCGGCGGCGGCGGTGGTGGTGGTGGTTCCGGGAGAAGCAAATCCAGATCTCCAGGACACCGCGCGGGATCTTCCTCCGGCGGTCGTCGCGGCGGACGACGTAGTAACAACACTCTGTTCGTGGAAGGAGGCGCTCTCGCCGATTTCCCTAAAGATCCATCCTTTTCGACTCCCTCTCGAGGAAGATCGAAACCCAGAAGCTCAGATCGTGGGAAAGCTTCTTCTTCTGCTTCCACGAGTGGTCTGAGGAGATGCAGTTACGCCTATCAGTACCCTGGTGATCAACAAATGGTTGGAGTTGGATCATCAAATCAGTTACTTCTAGGGAAGAAGACAGAGGAGAGGACAACGCAGATCGTTGCTTATATGGATGATCAAACACCTTCTTGTTCATCGAAGGAAGTGGTTAAGGTAAATTATGAGTATGAGTATGAACCGAGTTTTGTTTTGGGTGGTGATGGTGATGACTCTCATAAAGGATTGGGCTTTTGTGATGATGATTGTGATGATGATGCACCAAGTGGTAGCCTTTCTGTTTCCAAGGTAGTGGGAGAGGCTCCTGCAAGTGAAGATGAAGCTATGCCTGATGTTGTGAAACCGTCAAAGAGGAATTCAGGGTTCATTTCTATTGGAGGGATGAAGCTTTACACTGAAGATATATCTGATGAGGAAGAGAGTGATGGAGAAGAAGAGGAAGGAAGCGTTGGATCGTCTGAGGAAGAGGAAGAGAGTGAGGAGTCATCTGAGAGTGAAAGCTCGGAGGATATGTTTTTAAGTGATACGGAGATTGATGACGCTGTTGCGAAAGATTACTTGGAAGGTATTGGTGGAAGTGAGAATATGTTGGATGCTCATTGGTTGGCAGAAAAGTCATTGGACCAACTTGATTTGTCTGACATTTCTGGAAGTGATTCTTCTCCTAAGAAGAAAGGAAAGTTGACTGGTTTGGCTTTACAAAAGGCGTCTATGGAGTATGGTAAGAAGAAGTTTACAAGAAGTGGTTCATCTGTGCATGGTAAGGCTGCTCATCCAATGACAATGGATGATCTCATGTTTGTGAAGGATCCGAGGAGTCTTTCTGGGAGGAAGAATAAGAAGAAACAGGCGTCTAAGTTTCTACCACAGTCTTGGCCTTCAGGGTCACAAAAGAGCAAGCATTCTCGTAATTTCCCTGGTGAGAAGAAGAAACATCGCAAAGAGTATATTGCTCTGAAGCGTCGTGAGAGAATGTTGCAGCGTGGTGTTGATCTTGCTGATATAAACATTCAGTTAGAGCGTTTCGTTCTGGACAAAGTGGACATGCACTGTTTCCAGCGTATGCATAACAGAGATTGCTCTCAGGTGAGACGTTTAGCAGATGTATACCGCTTATCTAGTAGCTGCACTGGTTCTGGAAAGAAAAGCTTTGTGACAGTGACTCGAACTTATCAGACATGTATGCCGTCTGCTAGCGATAAGGTTCGCATTGAGAAGCTGATAGGAGCAGGAGATGAGGAAGAGGACTTTGCTGTCGGCGGAGGGGTAAAGGTTAAATCTGGAGGTTTAGAGAGGAAGAAAGGAAAAGACTCAGCCAAGAAGCGACCTACTAGAGAAGAACGGGAGAGAAATAAAAGCAGCGGGAAGAAGAGTTCATATGCTGAGCAACCTGTTTCATTTGTGTCAAGTGGTGTTATTGATTCTGAGATTGCTGTGGCAAAGACCTCTTCTGATGTCAATGATGCTAAACAAGTGGGTGAAGCTACTCCGGAAGCCTCTAGTGGAGCAGATATTGGAGCATTTGAGATACACACAAGAGGCTTTGGATCTAAAATGATGGCGAAAATGGGGTTCATAGAAGGAGGCGGTCTAGGAAAGGAGGGTAAGGGGATAGCACAGCCAATAGAAGCTATTCAACGTCCTAAATCACTTGGATTAGGTCTGGATTTCTCCATTGATACCGATGAGGCTAGTCCATCAAGCAAAAATAACAACGCTAAAAGGAACAGATCTTCTTCCTCTGGGAAACAGGGGAAACGTGTCTCCCATGACATTGGTGGTGGCTCTGGCTCAGCAAGGATCAGAGATAAAAGATTGGGAGCCTTTGAGCAGCACACAACAGGCTTTGGTTCGAGGATGATGGCGAGAATGGGTTTTGTGGATGGCTCTGGTTTGGGAAGAGAGTCACAAGGCATAGTCAATCCGCTGGTCGCAGTGAGACGTCCTAGAGCACGTGGCCTAGGCGCTGAAGGCTAAAAGACTCGAGTGTTTTAAGTTTGAACAAGACCGTATGGGTTTTAAAAGTTTATGTTCATCTTTGTTCTTTCACTACTCCTTTGAATTATGGGTTGAGCGTTGTTGATTTAATAAAACAAATCCTTTTTTCTTTAAGACAAGGCTGCTTTTGAAATAACCATTGATAGCAACGAAACTAAACTACTTTTTAACGTGTTGGTTAAACCGCCAATCCGTTTGTAAGTCTTAGCAAGAACATTTAGTAGTCAGTAGTCAGTACGAATGAACAAGAAGAGTCAAATTGATAACATTGATTAAAAGCACCAACATAATTCTGATAATTTAAAGAAACACAAGGTATCCAGAAGTAGAGAGAATCCGATTGAAAACTTAAATAACAGAGCATGATAAACTCGATCACTAGTTGTAGAGATCATCATCGTCCGCAGCAGCAGCTGCAGACGTGGCAAAAGGATCAGCGACTCCAGTGGTTGCACCTGAACCAGCAGAAGTCTCAAACCTAAACTCGGAACCAATCCCTCTAGACTGCTGCAGCGTCTGAGCAAAGGCTTGGTATTTCCTGATGTCTGCATCACTCACACTCCTGCGTGCATACTTCATCGACTCCTCAAAGTGTGCAGCTTTGATCTCTGACACTTCATCCACTTCATCTTCCTCCATGGCTTCTGGATTCTGGCTCCTCCTCTTCTCCTTCTCAATATCCTGAAACCAAAGAGCTAAAACTTAGACACTGGAGAGAGACTCTTTAGCAATTTCAATTAAAGATTCACAAGCCTAATACCTTCTCGATGTTTTCTCTGATGGCGTATTTGCAAGCCCTCTGGCAAATCTCAGTGATATCAGCACCACTGAATCCCTGTGTGTACTTAGCCAGAGCTTTGATGTCAACATCTTTAGCAATAGGAGACTTCCTCAAGCAGGCCTTGAAGATATTGAGACGTGAATCCTCGTCTGGCAGTGGAATGTAAATCAGCTGGTCGAGCCTTCCTGGACGGAGAAGAGCAGAGTCAATAATGTCGGGTCTGTTGGTTGCTCCGATGATGAAGACAGTCTTCTTGGCGTTCATTCCATCCATCTCAGTCAAAAGCTGGTTCAGGACTCTATCTGCTGCACCACCACCATCACCTCCGCTTCCACCTCCTCTCTGAGTCGCAATGGAGTCGAGCTCGTCAAAGAAGAGAACACATGGAGCAGACTGACGGGCCTTGTCAAAGATTTCACGGACATTCGCTTCACTCTCTCCAAACCACATAGTGAGAAGCTCAGGACCTTTGACACTGATGAAGTTTGCTTGGCACTCGTTGGCTATAGCCTTGGCCAGAAGAGTTTTACCACATCCAGGAGGACCGTAGAAAAGAACTCCCTTTGATGGAGACATACCAAATTTCTCAAACTTCTCTGGGTGCTCAACAGGGTATTGGACAGTCTGCGTTTAAACAATCACAGAGGTTAAAAGCTTAGCTTATAGTTCATGCACAGATCCAAGCAATAAGGGAAAGAGAAATTTACCTCCTGGAGCTCTCTCTTGACATTCTCAAGACCTCCGATGTCATCCCAAGAGACATTGGGAACTTCAACAACCTGAAACGCAAAGAAAATTTGGAATGAGATTTAAATGAAATTACAGGCTCTGATCTCGTTCTAGCAGCACTGTCAGTACTTACAGTTTCACGAAGTGCAGATGGGTTGCTGTTTCCTAGAGCAGTGTGGAAGTGTTCATTAGTCACTGCCATGGAATTGAGAATTTCAGCATCTATGGAGTCATCTTCCAAATCAATCACATCCATCTTCTCCCTGATGCACTGCAGGGCAGCTTCTGTGCACAGAGCTGCAAGATCAGCACCGACATAACCGTGTGTGTCCTTTGAGATCCTTTCTAGATCAACCTGAAACAAAAACAAACACACAAGAGTTAAGCTTCAATAAGCATTACAATCAACAAATGCAGACAAAGGTAAGCGTCAGATATTTACATCTTCAGCAAGCTTCATGTTCTTTGTGTGGATCCTGAGAACTTCAAGACGTCCAATCTCATCAGGAACACCAATATCAATCTCCCTATCAAATCTTCCAAACCTTCTCAAAGCCGGGTCAATACTGTTGGGACGATTGGTTGCTCCCATGACAATAACATGAGCACGAGATTTCAATCCATCCATTAGCGTAAGGAGCTGAGACACAATCCTCCTCTCAACCTCTCCATTGGTCTTCTCTCTTTTCGGTGCAATAGAGTCAATTTCATCAATGAATATGATGGAAGGAGCATTCTTCTCAGCCTCCTCAAATGCTTTCCTGAGGTTACTCTCACTCTCACCAGCCAGCTTGGACATGATCTCAGGTCCATTGATACAGAAGAAAAAGGCACCAGTTTCGTTAGCAACAGCACGAGCAATCAAAGTCTTTCCAGACCCAGGTGGTCCGTAAAGCAAAATTCCCTTCGGTGGCTTAACACCAATTGACTTGAATAGCTGTGGATGCCTCAAGGGAAGCTCAACAAGCTCCCTGATCTGAGCCATCTGCTTCCTCACACCACCAACATCATCATAACCTACTTCATCAAGCCTTTCTTCATCCTCCCTCTTGACTGGCTCACCCTCACAGAAAATCTCAGTGTCCGGAGCAACCACACAGTACTCAGCAGGATCTGTCTCAATAACCTTAAACTCCACACTCCTCATTCCTCCTCTGACTAGAAAGAGATCTCCCTTTCTCACCGGACGGTATGCCTCAAGGAAATAAGCTGTTGAAACAAAATCAAATTTCATTCAGAAATCACTCCAAAACGTATAAACAACATCGCAAGGCAAACAGGAATAATAAAAAACAACTTACGTTTAAGGTAAGCATCAAAGAGGTTACCAGTGACTCCCTCAACAGTATCATCAACAGGCAAGATGTGCACACGCTTTCCGTACTTAACATCAGGGCACTGGTGAACAGAGATAACATCTCCAAGTCTAACCCTCAAGTTAGATCTAACCACTTTGTTCATCCTGATCTTCGGCTCCTCACATGATTCATCAGCAAGAGCGATACAGATAGTATCCTTCCTTTTCTTACCCTAAAATACCAAAATCCAAAACCCAAATAAGAATTCACAAAGAACCAACAAAAAAGTCATCACTACAAAATACAACAATTCTACAATCAAAATCATATAAATCAATTGGTTTCATAAGTATACAAAACCCTATCAAAAAGACCAAACCTTGATGAGAATGGTATCACCACGGAAGAGCTGGAGCTTCTCCATGGTAGCAGGGTGGAGAGAAACAACGGAGTTATCATCGTTGATTGCTTCATCGACGACAAGTCTGTTCGGAGACTTCTTCCTCTCCAAAATAGCAGTACTGAAATCTTTCTTCGATTTCCTAAAACAAAAAACAAAAAAAGGATCAAACTTTTAGCTTTATCCACTAGATCGAACAAAACCCTAATCCCGAAATCGAAAACCCAGACTTCAATAGATCGGAATCGGAAAAAGCGAAATCGGAGATCTGGGTTACTTACGAGTCTGAAGATTCAGCTGGGTTCGACATAATTGAATCGAGATTAGCGATGAGAGAGAGAGAGTTTTCTCAGAAAGTTGAGAGCTTTGGGGATGAAGTGTTGAGAATGGGATCTGAAAGAGCAGAGAGATCGTCGCAAGTTATATCGTCTCTACGTTTCTTGTTGGCGAAGAGAGAGACCTTAAGACTTTATTTTCCTTTTTTCTAATTTTCTAGAAAGATCTAAACCGACCCCTATTTTTTCCTTTTCTCCCCAACTTATCCCCCAATTCTGTTTTGTGAATAAATAACTCCAATTCTTTTCAAATTCCTCCATTTTTTTTTTTAATTGGCTATTTGGGGTGGTTAGAAAAAAGGATTGAATCTAAAATATTTCAATTTTCAATTTTTTTTTTATCTCACATTTGAGTTGTGAAGATCATAATTCATAATACATTTTTTAAAAAATTGAATCCTTAAAACATGTTTGAGTTTTATATTTTGCAGCATGAATATTACATATGAACAATTATAAAAAAGAATATACCTTAACCACATTAACAATCTTCCTACCTATCAGCCAATATTCTTTTTCCAGAATTTCAGTATAACCCATAACTATTCTCTTCTTTATTAAGATAGTCAAAAAAAAAAAGATATCTTCTTTGTTTACTTATCTATGTGATAAGATTTACTTGAGATAATTAATAGGTAATTTAAGACACAAATGCAAATATACACGCAATTGAAACCTGAAGAGCTTTGGAACAAAGCTCCTGATAAGCTTTATGTACATATCTTCATAATTCAGCTGTGGTTACATTCATACAAACATCATAACATTTAGCATATCTCACAATCTTCACATATTAATATGTATATGAACTTGATCTATAGATCTTGATATTGATATCATCCAAATCTTCAAGCTTTTCAGTCTCATTCTTGACTATTTTCCTTTTATGTAACAAGAAGTAAGCACTCAACAAGCTCTTATTGTCTTTGGGTTCCATAACTTACCAAACCAACCTCCTTCACCACCACTACCATTGTTCCTCATCTCTAAGCCCCTCTTCTTTTTCCCTCCTCCAGCGTCTCTAGAAGTCTCCAAACTCTTCAACGGAACTAGCTGTGGCACATCACCACTCCCTGAAGGCGCTTCAACAATCTTGTTCACCATCTCCAACACTTCACTCATCCTGGGACGTGCCTTTGGGTTCCTAACCAAACATCTGTTGGCCACAACTGCTAGCTTCTGAACTGATTTGAGTGGGTAGTTTCCTTCTAGCCTCGGGTCTAATATGAGCTTGAACTTCCTTGTGTCTGATAGATAAGGTCTCACCCATTCTAGAAGCTTCTGCTCTCCCTTAGGTTTGTTCCTATCAACAGGTCTCCTCCCTGTGATAAGCTCATATATGAAAACTCCATAACCCCACACATCGCTTTTTGATGTGAGACGACCTGTATGAATGTACTCAGGTGCTGCATAACCCATTGTACCTACAACCTAACAAAACCAAAGAAAACAAATTCAAAACATAGATGTTTATAAAAATTAGGACACTTTTTCCGAACCGGAACCGATCTGAAACCAAACCAAAAATTATACAAATAACTAGATGAGTCCAAAAATCTTTAACCAAGAAAACCGAAACCAAAAAGAACCGACTCAATTAAACCTGAACTCGAAAATAACCGACCCGAATAGACCTGAACCGAAGACCAAAATGCCCAAGTCTAGTACAAATTTTGTAACCAAAAGAAGTGAATGCATAAGCTTACATCAGTAGAAACATGAGTTAATCCTTCAGATGGACCTAAACGAGCCAAACCAAAGTCAGAAAGCTTTGCTTTCCAATCCTCATCCAAAAGAATGTTCGAAGACTTAATATCTCTGAATATTATCTGCAAAAACATTACATAAAAGTCACTAAAACAGAGAAAAACAATGAGACCAATTCAAGTCATGACAATTTATACCTGAAACTCCATTTGTTCATGAAGATATGCTAAACCACGAGCTGCATCCTGAGCTATTCTCAACCTGAGATCCCAAGTAAGGATAGTGAGTGACCTAGGAGACAAATGAAACTCAACGCTTCGGTTAGGCATGTATTCATAAACCAAAAGCCGTTGAATCCCACGCTCATCATCCTCTGCACAGTACCCAAGCAACTTCACCAAATTTGAATGCTCAACCACACCAAGAAAGTTAACCTCAGTAACCCATTCCTTATGCCCTTGAAGCCCTCTTTTACCAAGCTGCTTAACAGCAACTTCGATTTTGATCGTCGGATCTTCTAAGCTCCTCACTGTTCCCTTAAAGACACAACCGAAACCTCCTTCACCAATCATAACAGACCTGCTGAAGTTCTTTGTTGCAGCCTTGAGATCAGTGATGCTGAACTCTCTGAGATTACTTGCTCTAGTGGACATTGTAGGAGGGTAAGAGTTCTTCCTCCCCATTGATGATTCAGTGCTTGTGCCGGAGACATCTCTGGAGTTGAACTCTGACCCGCTTCGGATAATGTCTCGGTCGGAGAAGTTGGAGGTTAATGAGACATTAGGGGTCTTGTGTTCTTCTTTCTTGTCTCCTCCAGAGAAGAAGAAACACTTCATCGTCGAGAAGAGACTATACCACTTACGTTTCTCCACTGCAAGACATTAACAAGTCACATAAAAACAAAACAGTTAATCTACAAAGTTAATACCTTTTCATAATTGAGTAGAACTTAAAAAAACAGAGTAACATGTTCTTAGACATTGAAAGAGATCAACTTCAGATTCAAGAGATCTAAAGAAGAGTGTCTTTTGGCTAAACAGATCCAAGTTCTTGTCTAAGTAATAGAAGTTCGAAAGTTGGTTTCTTTGTTCTCTAAAACCCAACAGAGACATAAAAGAAGTGTGACTTAGTGAACAAACCAATCATGAAAGGGCAGAAGATTCATTACAACTCACCTTTGAATTTGTATTGTGAACATAAAAATCAAAGCTTTATCAGAAGAAGATAGAAAGAGGATGGATTTGAGGAAAGATATGCAGATGGAAGAGCAAAGCTTAGAAGAAGAGAAGAAGGAAGAAGATGAAGAAGTCGTGTAACACGGCAAACAAAATAAAAGAGTCTTTGCAGATTAAGCCAAGTCAGAAATGAGAATTTAAACTGTAGAAGAAATTGACTGAAATTTTATGAATGTTTCACAAAAGAATATTTTTTTATATATAAAAAAAATGAACTGTGAGAAAAAAAAAAAAGTTTTTTTTTCCTTTGACATTTTCAACGATTATGTGCTTGAAAAAGTAGCCTATACTCGTTTTTGTATTATGATTTTTTTTTTTTTTTTTTTTTTTGATAATGATTTAGTTAAGTAGTAGTAGTAATTTTG